CTCCATGTCCAATATTAGGCATGTGGGATTCCTAGCGGTGAGTGAGGCATGCATTTTCTTCCATCTCCTGGAACCTGCCCCCATCACAGTTGCCATTCCCAGACAAATCCTTCAAGGAATCTCCAAAGCAGAGAAGACCTTGGTCCATCCATCCAAGGCCAATCTTCTGTCTATGACAGTGGCCTCACAAGATACAAAATAACATTTGGTCTTTTCTAAACAGAGCAGAAAACTAAGTTAGAGAAAATTAGACAGATTTTTTTTTTAATGAAAAAGATGGTAGCTTTCTGATTGAAAGAAAATCCAAGATTCATCAGAAATCTGGAGGTCAACAGAGAGTAGGAAAGAAATGAGGCTTTTTGAGCAAATGACAGCAGAGGCAAGAGAGTATGTGAGACAAAAGCTGACCAGGTCAGGCAGCCCCCCAGGCTCTGTGGGCACCAGCAGCAGGCTTCTGAAGTCGATAAGTGCACAGGTCCCCCACACACACTGGCCAGCATCCCTATTACTTCTCATTCAGCCCATCAAGAGAGGCTGTGCACCCTCACCACAGCCACATCCACAGCATGCACATGGTGTTTTAGGAGCAAATAAAAAAGCCACTCAGCCAACAGTGATCCATCCTTGCTGAGGGTAGGATATGTATAACTTTTCATAGAATAAGGAAGGGGTATCTTCTATTCTGCTTGGTTAATTGTTTTTTTGTTTGATTAGTTGCTCGCTTCCTTGCTTTTGGTGGTTTTATTTTAATTAGATGCTTTACCATGTGCTTCCCAAAGGGATACATTTTTGTTCTCTGAATAGCTTCAGACTTAAAAAACCAGAACTAGAAAAAAAGTTTAAATCTTCTATAAAGTTCCTGGGTAGATTTTAAGTTTGGAAGAGGCTCATGGAAACAAAATGGAAGGAATGTCTAAGGTTTTTCTTTTTCTCAAAAGTTTTCTTTCTTAATAATAATAATATCTAGAAGCAGAATAGCCCTGAGAATGCTTCCTGAAGGTAAGGGCTGCCACATAAATGTCTTCTACATTACCATCCTGAGCCACAGGGCCATCATGCAATTTATGTGTATTAGAGAGAATTTGAACCACACAAGCCACTGTCACAAAATTGTTCCTTTTTGTTTACTAAGACAAGATACTATCCAGATGAGAATATATTTGAAGTTCAGGACTAGTGGTAAAAATATAATCTTCTTAGGTTATAAAAGGCTTAAAGGTAGAGATTATTCCTCATGACACTTTACACAGATCCTACAGTATCTGAAAAAAGACATAACAGGTTGTGAGCTTGAAAATACTTGGTGAATGAATCAAGTCATGGGTAAGTGAATATATGAATATGTTAATTTATAACCATGAGAGTACATTAATGTGTAATGGCTTGAATACTCAGAGCTATAAATGAATACATTTGTGGGTGGCAGGTGCTTGTATTTGTTAGTGAGGTAATGAACAACAGTGCTTGTTTCCAGGATCCTGCAGGGCCACCAAAGCCACAGGTAAGGCTCTGGTGAACAGAGGTGACACACTAGAGCTTCCTCATATTAGGAATCAATCATAGGGCCACGTCAAGGCTCTCATGAGTCAAGGCTCTCTGTGCCTTAGTGGAGTCACTAATGCTTTACCATTAGAACTCGGCTGCCATCCCAAGATGCCAAAGTTGTCAGTTCTCCCAGGAGTGTTTAGATCCATGATCCACACCATGTACCAACACATTTACCATATAAGACCAAAACTAGTGAAGGGTGCTTGTAGAATTCTTCCCACAGAGAAGCAAAGTTGCTCAGGGAAAGAGAATGATAACAAAGTGATTGAAGGTCTTGGTGGTGTAAGAACTAGAGTCCCTAAACACTCACCTCTGCATAGGGATACACCTGTTGAGAAGGCTGCCAGAGCCCGCCCCCATACAAAATGGAGTAGACTGTTGCAAATTCTGAATGAGCTAACTCTCCTTTTTCAGTAGCTCTCATTGATTACAAACTCTTGCATCGTGTCAAATTGCTTTATGATACACACCTGAGCGTGAATATGCTGGCAGTGCCGCTGACATTGCTTGCTGTTTGAGATGGAAATCTTCCCAAGGAGGTTCATCAGAGCTCCCTCAAAAGCACCTAAAGGAGATAGGAATGCCCTTCTTGAGAGTCACATTCACAAGTAATCTCCTGGGACAGGTTATTCTCTGAGATGATTTTGGAGAATGTTCCTTTACACATTCTTAGCATCCACGACAGAGGATGACAACTCTTTGGCCAAGTCTCCAATTTAGAGGATACATTCTGTTGGGAGCTCACAGATCTCATGACAGCAGCCAGAACTCCACCTGTATTTTCAGGGCCCTCAAAACAATGTGCCGTGATGAGAAAGCAACATCTGAGTTTGACCCATAGCTCTGCCCTTCCCCTGGTGTGTGTCCATGGCAAGTCAGTTCACCTCTGAACCTCAGTTCCTTCAACTATAAAATGGAGATAAGAGTATTATCTATATGATAGGGTTTTTTAATGTGGATTGAATTATTTAATGTCTGAAAACATAGCTGTGATAGCTTCAGTCAAAAGTAGGAATGGGCTATGACAGCTGGGGCAGGACAGGGCTCCCAGTTCTATTTACACTTCCCAGGAGCAATTTGCCTCTAACGATATAGGCAGATCCCCTTATATCCTGTTTAAGGAAACAACATTCTAAGTATTTCCCTTTTTCTTTCCACCTGTAAATTTCAATTTTGCGTGGGAATTCTTAACTGGTCTCCTCGAAGGTAAGGATGACACCTCCTTTGGGTATTCTTTGTGCCTGACCCTTCCTATTAGAACTGAGTAAGATCTTCAAACATCTACATTTCAAGTGGCTCCTAACTTGCTCCTTTGGGTCTGAGTGGCAGAGCCACCTTCACTGGGACTTTACTTTTCCTCTTTTTTAAAAAAGTGCCTACCGACCATTATGCCAAAGATAGTTATTTCCAAGAGATGAGATGGAGTTTTGGAGTTTTTTTCCCAGGCTATAGTTTTCTATAGGTTTTTTAAATTTTTGAATGAGCATGTATTGCTCATGTAACTGGAAAAGGTTATTTTTGTTGTTGTTGTTTTTTGAACAAAAGAAAAACTGTTCCCTTTACCCCTTCTCTGATGCCACCTGCTGGGATGTGATACCCTTATGCTGTAGACTTGACACAAGAAGTCCCTCACATCTGCAAAGGGCTTCAACACCATTTGGGTCATAACTTTGAACTCTTGAGGGGTAGAAACTCTCCACCAATAATATGGGGCTTTGAGAATTAGTATTTCTAAACAATGATGAAGCCATCTCACACATATTAGAACCACTTGATTTTAAGCAACAGAACCCCAACCTGAATTGGTTTCAACAGATAAGGGGATTTTTTTTTTTTAATGATGCTAAGATATTTTCTGGATCCCAAGGAAAGACTGTAGTTATATCTCAGGAGCAGTTGGAGTCCAGAGTTCAAACACTGTCAGGAGTCTCTCCCTCTCTTGAGTTTTGCATGTTTGTTATTATCCAGCCACTTTCTCTGCCTGGCCGAAAACACAGAATTCCAGGACTATATGCTATACTTTCAAGACCTTGAGAGAGATTTACTCAATGTTCTCTATGTCCAAAGTACAAACTTCCTTCATAAGGGTCTCATCTGCCCAGTTAGAATCAGATATCCATGCTGGAATGATTAACTGCAGTCAAAGACCTCGTTGTGGTCTGAAAGATCAGAGTCAATAGTGTTACTATCGTGCTAACCCTTGCTGACCTGCAAGCTGTTCATTGTCTATCTGAATATTTCTACTACTAAAACTGAGAATAAGTGTTTCTAAACTTTTACAACAATTTGACATTTCTGTGACACTCAAGAATGTGATTTTATATCACATCAGTTTATAAGAGATCAGAAATGTAAATGTTTAAATAATTTGAAAAGCACTTATACAGCATTTCCTTCAGGAATCATGTGCTTAAGAGACGAAGTATATTAAAAGGAGAAAGCAACTGGTATCCAGAACATTATATATGTACAGAGTTCTGCACTTTACCAAACTGACCCACATTAGGGGACTTGTTCTCTGGAAGACCTCAAGGGCTAATTTGTCTTCCTTGTAATGTTTCATTATACTTGTGATAGACGTGTTTCTACATTTTGGCTTAAGTTCTTTGACAGCAGAGATTATGTCTAACCTATTAACTATGGTCATCTCAGGCCCATTTGCAGGGGCTCAGTAAACAACTAATGCAATGAGTCGCTGCACTTTAAGGATGCAATAGAAACAAAATAGGATATATCTGGAGGTGAGGTCCTATGGGAGAGTCCGGCAGGACTTGCAGCTGCAGTTGACTCCTAGAAAAGGAGCTACCATGAACGGTAGTCATGTTAAAAGGCTTACTATTGATATATTGATTTTTTATAAACATTTAAAAACTACAGCTCATGGTGACCCTCCTAATAGTGGCTTTTGAAAAAGGACAAAAACAGAATACTGTTGCTGTATCACATACTTTGGCTTCGTAATATGCTACACTTTAATACTGAATTTTCCTAAAGTAGATGCAGCTATGTGAAACTTTAAGTTCATATGAAAAGACAAGAGAAGATTTGGATTATGAGTCAAAGATGCACAGTTTTACCATAAGCTCTGTCAATAATTTGGCTGTTACTTCAGACAAACCATTTTCTCTTTCTAGGCCCCATATTATCAATTTATAAAATGAGATAAGTTAAATAAATAAATTATACAAGTCCTCCCAACTCCATCCACCCATAATTTTCTCATTCTCTAGACATCTGTTTATATACTCATCAGAAAAAAGATTATGAATTATGTATTTTTCATTTCCTATAATTCCCCATCCTTTGAAAATGACAAGTTCAGTGTATAGACTTGCTATTTCTCAGAGGTTCAGTGCTGACTAGCTGTGGTTGCTCTGTTTTACAAACTCAGAGCCTGAGACGTGTTGAGGCGGTCTTATTTGTCTGCTTGTGTCTTTCCCTTTGCCCCACAGCCATGCTGCAGGCAGTGCGAGCCCTAATGATCGTGGGGATTGTGCTGGGGGCCATCAGCACCCTAGTGTCCATCTTTGCTCTGAAATGCATTCGCATTGGCAGCATGGAGGACTCTGCCAAGGCCAAAATGACACTGACCTCTGGGATCATGTTCATTATCTCAGGTAAACATGGGTTCCAGCTTCAAATATGCTTCTGGGAATGTCAGAGTAAAATCACTCCAGTTGAAGAAACATGGCTCCTCCTTATTGTTGAACATGGTTCAGACTTTTTCATGCTGGGATTCAAGATCTGAGTGATTCAAAATCTACTGACACTCTCTAGAACCCTCATGAGTGCTAATGACCCTCTGAACTGTCACCCCAAATGTAATATAAGACCATCATGGAGGATCATATAAGATAATCATGTGACTAATCTCTAAAAGGCATCTTTTTAATGAAAATAATTTTAAGGGAGGAGCTCTTAATATCAACAAAAGATCAAACTCAAAATAGAACTGTTTACCCTTGGTCCCTGGATGCATAGGACATGTGTCTCCCTCTCCCCTCTTCCCTCTCCCAGCTCCTCCCCCAACCCTCTCTCTCTGTCTCTCTCTCTCACCCTCCCTCCCCACCCAGAAAAAATGAGGTAAGAAATAAGTACCTAGTTCACTGTCTAACACATAGGAGAATTCAATAATCCATGTTTGGTTGATCATTCTATACAGAAATGAAATATTCTTCAGCCTGCTCGCATGAACTCATTTAAGCATAAACTGCCTTAAAGCTGACTCTGTAGTTTTTTTGCTCTTTATCAACAGGTATTTGTGCAATTATTGGAGTGTCTGTGTTTGCCAACATGCTGGTTACTAATTTCTGGATGTCCACAGCTAACATGTACGGCAGCATGGGTGGGATGGTGCAGACTGTTCAGACCAGGTAACTCTCTGATCCATGTCTCAGTATTTCATAGTGAATATTATTGTAAGAATATGATTAAATACATGTGCCTAATATGACTGTCAATGCCTGAAATAGCAAAAATTTATCAGAGGGAACCAAGCCATATCATAAATCAACAATGATCCATAAATTCATAAACTTAATTTTGGTGAAATATTCTTGGTGATATCACTTCAGGCTGATCTGACATCTGCATTGAAATACAGTGATGGTTTACAGTATTTATCTAATGCTCTTACATAAGCCCCATTGTGGTGGCAATGAAACAAGCACTATTATCCAGGCAGGCAAATGAACATAAACTTACATCTACAGTCTGTAATGGGTACCTGGCTAGAAAAAAGTAAAAGCTGGAATAGAAATAAGCTTAGTGCAGCCTAGGAGGAAAACATGATGTTTCTTTCTTGTACTTCTTTCTCTCCATCACTAATTCATTTATTCTGCAAATGTGTTGAGCTCCTCCTGTGGGTCAGGAAATGTTTAGAGTACCAGAGATAACAGACAGGGTTCCCGTTCATGAAAATTGCAGTCCAGCACAGGAAGATGAAACCCTACTATAGTTTAGTGACTGGAGCAGAGTATAACTTTCAAATGATAACAGAGCAATACTAATACCTGTATTCATTTAGCCATTTAAAATGGATGTACTTAAAAGCAAGAAGCAATAGCAAAATTCTGAAGGAGAAAGATCTGGTTGTGGGGGAGTAGTATAAATATTATACCAAAGTGACCTGTCTTCTCCATGTAGGGGCACTTGGTATTTCTCCAGCCACAACAACATGAATAGGTATGGTGATGTGATAAATCCATTACTCTTTAGATTCCTGGTCCAATAACCTTTATACTTTTCCTTTATTCAAGAATGAGGAAATAAATGACATTCATAAGCTAGATGTCCTGATGCACTGCCATGTTCCTCCCATGGTTTCTTGGTTACAAGTGCAATTTAGAAGCAGGCTGACCAACTCATTTAAGTTTTCTTGAGATTTTCTCCATTTGCGCACTAAAGCTCCCACATCCTAGGAAATACCCAACGTGGGGAAAAGCAAAATTATTGACCAGTCTACTTTTTTGTTTTTTGGGTTTTTTTTTTTTTTTGGGTTTTTTTTTTTTTTTGGGTTTTTTTTTTTTTTTGGGTTTTTTTTTTTTTTTGGGTTTTTTTTTTTTTTTGGGTTTTTTTTTTTTTTTGGGTTTTTTTTTTTTTTTGGGTTTTTTTTTTTTTTTGGGTTTTTTTTTTTTTTTGGGTTTTTTTTTTTTTTTGGGTTTTTTTTTTTTTTTACCAGGGCAATTGAACTCAGGACCTTGCCCTTACGAGGCAGGTGGCAGAGCCACTGAGCTAAATCCTGGCCTGATCAGTCAACGTTTAAAATCACACCCTGTCCAGAAGATCTGGGTGCCTGGTGTCATTACCCTTAGCCAGAGGAGACACCCACGAGCACCCAAAGATAATGCCTCCTCCCACTCTCACACCATCTCCCTAAACTGCCTCTGTCCATTGGGCAGGCAGCTTCAGTCTGCGATGAAGACTGTAGATTCTGAGAAGCCTCTGAATGTCTCTTTCCATGAATGAACAGCTGCCTGTCCCCTTCTCTCTGTCTTCATTTTCTCTGATTAGAAATCATGTGAGACAGCCCAGCTGTCAAGAAACATCTTAACAGGCCATTTCATGGAACGGTTCTGATGCCCCATTATCTTATATCTCCTTTTTCACCACCGCCACCCCCACTCTGTCATCGCAATGTTGTATGTGACATTGGCCACACTGAAGCCCTGGATCAGAGCTTCGAGCTTCCTGCATTCCCACCGCATGCAGCCTGCAAGGTATTTTGTATTAGCCTGCACATTTCCTTTTATAATCCTAATTGACCACCAACTTTTAAAATTAGAAGTGCCACAGACTGTGTCCCTCAGAAGCAGATCCTGAGAAGAGGATTCCTGTAGCTGTTTATATGAAGGAAGGGGAGGCTAGTTAGAGAGTAGGGAAAACAGAACAGGAAATGGGGGAGCCAAGCATGAGTATGATTTCAGATGAGTTTCTGATTCAGCCTAATCCTGAGAGAAGGTATTGTGCAGTGTGAATTATGCCTCAAAGTCGTCTCCAAACTAAAGATCTGAGCTTTCATATTTCCAAGTCAGTCACTCTCTGTGCACATGGCCTAAGGGCCTCAGGAGCTAAACCAAAGCTAGAACCCTGGAGAGACCAGCAAGAAATCACCAGGTAATGGTAAGAGAAGGCTTAAGCTGCAAAAAGAAACACACAGAAATTCGTAAAGAGGCCAAGGGCTATTAATGCCTGTGCAAGCAGATTTCACAACACACGCACACACACTTCTCTAACTTCATGTATAAAAGGAAATCAGATATGGCAGAACTGGACCCCATCCTCATAAAGCAGCCTTCTCTGCACTGAGAGGCAGCTGCTGTTTTAGCAAAGACTCGCATTCTCCAGTTTACCACATTCCCACTGTTCTCAAATGGCCCATTTCTGAGCCATTTATCATCATATTTATGGAGTTTCTCTCCATATAGTAGAGTCAAGAAAAGGAAATATTTTCTTATGTCTTTCTCACTTCACTCATTTAAGTTTCTTGCCTGTCCCAGGTAAGGATTTAAGTTTGCAAACCTTGACTCAGAGTCCCTAAGTCAAGGAGAGGAATCTTGTTCCCTCTCTGACTCTCCATTTCCTCATCTGTAAAATGGGAATGATAAATCCTATTACAGTGGCTACTGGAAAAATTAAAAGAGATGATGGTGAAAAAAAATGCTTATCAGGGTGCCAGAAAGAGCTCAATAAATGATAGCAGTTATTGTTACACCCTTCTCATTATGTTATATTACCATTATAATATATTACCACTGCCATTATACCACCCATCTTTAGGGACATTGAGGACAGGGGGTTCTGTCTGTGTCAGGGCAGAGGGACCAGTGCTGCCTTCAGGAAAATCACCCAGGGTCCAGGAGGAGCATTAGGAAGAAATCTGTAATTCAGCCTCTAGTCACACTTGGTAGGATGAGAGTGAGGAATGGAGTTCTTCATTCCAGGAAAGAAACCCTCAAACCAAATGTCTGTTTTTTCCTAGCTCAAAGGGAATAAAACTGCCTACATAAAAATTTTCTCTTAAATGCATTCAAGGACTGAGTTCAGCCAACAAGTTTTTCCTACAAGTCACACTTGGCCACAGTTCTATACTCTTTATGTTACACTAAAACATGTGTGCTTTTCAAGTACATCCAAAGTAATATGTTTTCTTAGGTTGCAGACAATGTCTGTGCACATTTCTGTCTTCCTACTGCCAGAATAATAGTCTTAGTTCATATAGTAGACCTAAAAAGTAAGTGATTCGTGGTGTTCTACAAACAGTTACCATGGTCTTAGAGAACAGGAAACTGCTAAGGGCCAATGTCTACTGTATTGGGCTCTTCTTTTCTGCTATCCTCTTACAGATGGAAGTCAAGTTTCCAGATAGTGTCCAATACTTATTAACATCCTAGTGCTTTTTGGTCACTGAGATACCTCTCCCCACTATCCAAAATGTCCATTTGGGATCACAATTATTCTATTCTCAGATTTTGTTCTCAGTCCTGTTCTGATTTGATAGAGTCCCAGAGGGGACATCCCACATAGAAGAAGGGAACCAGCTTTGGAGTAAGACCCTCTCAGGTTAGAATACCAGTACAGGCTAGAACAGGAAGCACCGTGAGGGTATTGTCTCTGTCTTATTCACCCCTGTACCTCAGTGCCAGGGTAGTGTTGAGCACATAGTAGGACTACAATAAATAGTTCTTAAACAAAAGAGTAAATGAAATAAGGAATGGTCACCTCCAACTTATTTCTTTTTTTAAGATAATATTCCTACCTGCATGGTTGACGGCAAAGTATATTTTGTCAGTTTCCCACTACTGTGATGAAATACCTGAATTTATTAATTTAGAAAGTGTTTATTTGGGCTCACAGTTTTGGAGATTTCAGCCTACAATCTAGAAGATTCATTGCTTTGACCTCTGATGAGGGTATCAGATGGCAAGAAGTGCATGATGAAAGCATAATGCTCACCTCATGAACAGTAAGCGGAAAAGAAAGAGAGACAAGACCAAGATTCCCTAATTCCTTTATAAAGCACACTTCCAATGACCTGGGAGTTTCCCACTGAATCCCACTTCCTAATGGTTCTATCGCCTTCAAATCTTAAACAGATGAGCCCTTCAGAGATATTCAACACCCAAAATATACTCCAAGAGTTACCTGAGGTAAGGTAAGGTGAATACTTCTTGGCCCAGTCAGGACTCAAGGAACTAAAATTTCTTCAGGAATAATAACTCGAGACTGATTTCGTATCTAGGAAATGTCTCTTACCATGGCTTCCAGACTTTCTCTTTTGCCAGTAGACAGGGGTACTTTTAAAGGGGGCACAAGGATGAGCATGGCCAGGAGCAGTGAACAGAGCCTGAAGAGCTAAGTCAATATTCACAGCCTCTGTCTTGCCCCTCAGGTACACCTTTGGTTCAGCTCTGTTCGTGGGCTGGATTGCCGGAGGCCTCACACTAATTGGGGGTGTGTTGATGTGCATTGCCTGCCGAGGTCTGGTACCTGATCAAACCAAGTAAGTCTTCCATCCCCATCCCCGTGCATTTAGACACTTCATTTGCTCAGAGTCCATTTTAAATATTAATCTAGGTGTTTGGAAGAACTTTATTTACCAAAGGTTCACTGAACTTTCCCATTTATGGAATCTAAAAAATAGAACAGGAATATTTCAGCCTAGCAAGAGTAGGAGTGCTACTATTTGAAAGAAAAAAAATCCTGGGATCCTTCTCCAAAGTTTTGTAACTCAATCATTCTCATTTGGAAGATATTTTGCACTATCACCACTTTCCAGGATATTTAGTAGCATCTGAAGATAATTTTGATTGTTTCAACTTTGGCAGGAGGCAGAGGAAAGTGGTACTGGCGTAAATGGGTGCAAGGCAAGATTGCTGCTAAATATCCTACAGTGTACAAGATAGATCCTAACAACAAAGAAGCATTCATTCCAAAACATTACTAGTAAAGGTGATGCAAAACCATGTTATAATTTCACAAATGCACCTGGTGTTTGCAGAGTTGAGCTCTAGCGTGATTTCACTGCTAACTGACCCTCTGATCTCTAGCAGGTTATACGTCCTCGCTAGGGCTCTGCCTTAGTCCCCTTGGGCTACTATAACAAAATATCACAAAATGGGCAATTTATAAACAGTAAAAATGTATTTCTCATGGTTCTGGAGGCTGGGAAATCTAAAATCAAGGTACTCGTAGGTTAGGTGTGTAGTGAGGGCCCAATCTCCACTTCCAGATGGTGCCTTGGTGCTGTGTTCTCTGAAGAAGAAAAACATGGGCTCTCACGGCAAAGGAATGGAAGGGCAAGAGAAAGCTCCCTTTAACTTCAAGCCCTTTTCTAAAGCACTAATCTCTCAAGAAATCATTTTCCAATGGAGGTTAAGTTTTAGTATGTATTTTGGAAAGTTCATTTTCAAACCATAAGCAGCCACTGTTACTTTACCCGTAAAATAATAAATTAAGGGAGATGAGTTGCACATAGGTATCTCCCAGCTCACAAATCCTATGGTTCTTTGGCAAAACAATGTTCCCTAGGACATTATTGCTAGTTCCCCTTAGCCTTAGTTGATTGACAGAGAGAATTAACTAGTCATTAACTACCAGCTCAGTGAAGCCCTAATATAAAAGCAAGAAATTCTGCTTTATACAAAAGCAGAAATCAGCTGGGTGTGGTGGCCCACACCTGTTATCCCAGCACTTGGGAGGCTGAGGCAGGAGGATCACTATGAGTTCGAGACCAGCCTGGGCTACATAGTGAGTTCTAGTTCAATCTCAACTATATAGTGAGACCCTGTCTCAAAAAACCAAAAAAAAAGCAGAAATCTAGTGTTTTAAAGAATAGAATGAACAGCCATCTTGGTCTGCCCAGGACTAATGAGTTTCCAAGGACACTGGACTTTTCATGCTAAAACTGAGATCATCCAGGGTAAATGGGGAAGTTGATCCTCCTACTAAAGACATCTGTGTTCATGGGTATTTCTTTTCTCTCAGCTACAAAGCCGTGTCTTATCATGCCTCAGGCCACAGTGTTAACTACAGGCCTGGAGGCTTCAAATCCAGCACTGGTTTTGGATCTACCACCAAGACCAAGAAGATATATGATGGGGGTGTCCACACAGAAGATGAAGCACAATCTCACCCTTCCAAGTATGACTATGTGTAATGCTTCAAGACCCCTAGGCATAGGCAGAAGAAACTCTTCCTCAAAGAGAACTCACCCAAAAAAAAAAGGAGATTCTACCTTGACTATTTGTTTTGACTCACAGTTGGAAGTTATCAAAGCCTTGATTTCATCTGTAGTGAAGCCAGATGATCTTGGCCACATATATGTCTCTGTCTCTAAATATTCCATCACAAAACAACTGAATTATCATTTATGAATTAGAAGTTATATAGCTCATGTTTTCTAACCCTCTATTTCTTTTTTGAAATAACTTTTTAAATCTGCTGTATAATGTTTTGACTTCCTGACACTTTGATGATTAAACAGATTCTTCTTCCTCCTTCTGTTTAATAAATGCATTGATGATCTATTTATCCACTTATACTGAAGGGAATTTTGAAAGGCAAGAAGGCAAGTAGATTAAAAGGCATTATTTTTTGCTATTTGATTTTTTTCCTGTCTTCATCTTCAACTTGACTACTAATAAACACTAACTGGAGTAGAAATGATAGAGAAAAGTTATTTGTAATCTCTCCAGTCTATTATCCGAGTTCTTACACTATGATCTTCAAAATTATTGGACCAAAGTGATTTTACATCTGAGACAACCAAGCTTTTCTGCTTCTGTTGGCATCTGCTAAATTCCAACAAGACTGTCCCAGGGGTTTCCTGGGCTTCTGCTGGAGGGCCCCCTTCTGTGACAAGTCAGAAGTAGTCCCTGGTGGAATGATAAAAGGAGTTTTTTTGTAACCTAAATCCTAAGTATAGTTAGAATAAGTAATGACTTAGCAAAATGGCACATTATATCTACGACTTAGTCTCACCCTTAAATGTAGGTAGAAGAAAATTTAAAAATATTCTTTGATATTGTCTATATTGTACTATGTAAAGTCACACATAAATCCAAATTCCATGAAAAAGCTCACTGATCCCAATTCCTTCTTTTTGAGGTCCCCATGATTCTGACTACCCATAATAATGAGTACAACCCATGTTTTAAAAAAATGTAATACAGCAAGTCCTAGGAATGTGAGTTAAAAATCAATTCTTTTAAAAACTGATAAGCCTAAATTTAATGTTATGTGTTCACACTTACCTGCTACAGGCCACTGCCAGTAGACAGTAGCCCTTATTTGACATGACCTTAATTTTGTTACTCTTGACAGCTATTTCCTTCACCAAATTCAACTAGAGTGGTTGGAACAGTAGATGTACAGGCAAAACTAAAAGTTCTTTGCAGCCACATACTTTCCCTGGGCTTGCTTCAGTGCCCTTTTTAGCAGAAAATATCAACTCCTTCCAGGACACAAGAATCCCATCCCACCACCAAAGCCATAATAGGCTCTCTGGGAAATGGAGGTAAAGGCAGTCTCTTAAAACTACCAAACCAAGGAGCAGCAGCAATGTTATAAGACTGGCCATTGGGTTATTATTTATGGGGAAAAACCCTTACATCAGTAGTGTATATGAAAACAGCCCCCAAGGGGCTTGGTGAATACTCTTCAGGCTGAACAAACTATGGATAAACACCAGGTTCATTGAGCAGTAGGAGTTGTGTTCACCAAGATCTTCCCACTGCAGTGATTTTATGCCCATTTGGTCAAATCATCCATGAAATTTGTTGCCTGAGGTGGGATAAAGAATAAACAGATACATTAGATTGAGGCGGGGGAAAGGAGGGATGAGCAGTCTAAAGCAAAGATTGTTAAGAGTTCTCAGGATCCAAGTTGAAGGCATCCCTTTAAATTGAAGGCCATGACACAACGAGTTTTTCTCCACAACCAGAAATTCCCTGGCCAGGTACAAGGCAGTGAGACTCAGTTGAGTTTCTTATTAGCACATTCTCCATCATCATTCAATGTTTAATAGTCTCCATATAGTTAGATTGTGCTTTGTAATATTTTGTTGTTGCTCTGTCTTATTGTGTATGCATTGAGTATTGACCTATATGTTTTGATAATTAAATATTAAAAACACTGCTCTCTTCCATTTGAATGGCTTTTGTTCTTTTTTCATAAGCTTTGAGAAGTGCAGATGGGAAGTCTCTGCACCTCAAAGCCAAATACATCTTCCCAGGAGTGATTCTGCCTGCAGAATGGTGTCTGCTCAGCACCGGCCGAGGTACTTGGTGGCCAGCTAGGTCTAGGTCCAACCCTGTTTGTGGTTTCCACGAGTTGAGAAGCCTTAGTGAAGGGGGTTCCCAGAGCAACTAGGCATAAGCCTTGGGGTCCAAGGACCAGTCTAGCCAGTCTGACCTTGAGTGTCCAGCCTGAAGTGTCTAATATCATTGGCCTGTCCCCTGCCCCTAAAACGGGAACACCCTCTCAGTACTGCCAAGTATTGAATTGATTATCTCAGAAAGCTATGCTCATTGAGTCTATATCAGAGTATAGAAACAGCCTGATCTACAAAGTTAGAACAATACAAGTTTAATTCCAGGTCACACCATATCCCAGATGTTATATTAAAGCATAGCACTTATGCTTTCTGAGTCTCACTTTCCCCATCTACAAAATAGGGATAATAAAGATAATGGAATAATGCAAGTAAAAGATGTACTCAAGTAACCGATATACAACATGCACAACTTTTAAGACAAATGAGTATTGTCACATAACTGAGATATCTAATGCCCAGTTGACTTCAGGCACAGTTGGATCAAAGAACATAATCAAGACTCTACCTTTCTTTGACCATATCTCAGTTTTACCTCCCTCTCTGTTGGTTTGCTTTTTGGGAAGACTGTATCACAGGGTACCAGAGATAGCTGCTCATATTTCTATGCATAAAGTCACATTACAGCAAGGGAACCTAGCCAAAAGGAAGCATCTCTTTCCTAATATGTATAGGAGACAAGATTCTGATAAAAATCATTGGACTTTTTGAGACGTCTTATTCTTAAGCTCTTCTTATAGACAAAGCACAGGCATCTAGCTTGACCAGGACTGGATCATCCAGTTTACTTGTTATGCACCAAAAAGACTATTCTAAGTATTCAGAGTCCTTAGAAATCAGGCAAACTCATTGTTTTGTTTCATGTTTTTCTTTCTTTTGCTTACAAGAAAAGTTTCTCTGACCAATTATCAAACAGTGTATAATACAGAAAGGAAGATTTAATATATTACTCTGGTTTTCAAAGAAAACTAATTATTAAACTTATATCAAGGCAAAAATTTACATTCACTTTTAAACAAATAAGATTACAAAATTGGTTGGTTAAAATTATACTCCAAATGGGGTGGAGCTCAGTGGTAAAGCACATGCCAAGTATGTGTAGTGCCCTGGGTTTAATCCCCAGTGGAAAGAAAGAGGGGGGGTAATGAAATGTGCTCAGTTATGTAATTTAGTGTTATTCAAATTTACATTTCCTAAAATTTAAGGGCATTTCTGTGCAATGACAGAAATGAATGAATCAAGCTCACAATATGAGTCACCATTGTTATCCATAAAAATCCTTGGGAGGGTCCAGGGATATAACTCATTAGCACCACGCCTGTCTGGCAAGCACAAAATTCTCATTTCAATTCCCAGAACCAGAAGAAAAAAAAGCCCTGGGAGTTTCCAGTAACTGACCACAGAGTATTTTATCTTAAAGTGAAGAAGGAAGGGGATTAAATAATAATCTTTCCGTGGGATGCCCAATTCTTTTGCTTTTTCTTTGGGGGGTGGGGGGATAGTATCCATCCTCCTCCTGTCTCCACATGATATTCTGCAAGATCAACCACTACAATGACCACAATTTTTGCCAAAAATGCCTGGTATGTCAGAATTGGTATAATCTGCTAAAGAAGGTCATGGGCTTGGAATCCACTGCCCTTCTGGTTCTAGCTTTGTCAACCAGTTGTGTGACTTTGCAGGATCATTGCAATGATTCATTAACATATTTTCATTATTTTGTCTTTATTGAGTTCTCATAGTTAGTACTGTGCTTAGTGCTTTACATTCTTTATCTTTAATTCTCCAAAAACTCTGATCTCACCTCCACTGACCTCCAACCCGTGGCCAGTCTGAGAGACTCAAAGCTCCTAGACACTTAGGAATCAAGCCAGAGACTCACATTATCACACCCTTACACACACACACACAAACACACACACCAGTTAAATTTCAGGATTCTCACCAAGGACTGTCATTTCTTTGGTTTTCTAATCTAAAGCATTTGCATATGCCTCTGGACCGTTGAACTGTTTCATTCTTCCCAGTTAAAGTCAGGCTGATATTTCATATCTCCCAATTCACAGTTTAAAAGGAAAAGCGTTATTCTTTTCAAATATCAGAAGTAAATGTGAAATAAATATGCAAGGTGTTAATAAATGAGGATAAACAGAAAGTTTCCTTATGGTTTATTATGAAATGTAAGACACTATGTTGTGCAGACAAAATGTCAATGAAATGCTTTAATTTCATTCAAATTCTATTCTGGAGCTAGGGTATTTAATTTAGCTATCAAAAAAGTGTCATTTTTAGGGATGGTTTTTAGTATACATATCACTACAATATTCAATACTAAAGGCAATTCATACCTAATGACCAAATAAGATAAAATCTCTTAGCTCCCCGGCTACAGAGAATTGCTAAAAGAAATCATAGACGTCTTCCTTAGAGAAATATCAGCGGAATGGGCCCAAAGAACATAAAAGTCTCATCCAAAGAAAACATTATACTTTATCCTATTTTTTAACTTAGATTTGACAGAGAATATAAAAATAATATAGTCAATATGAAAGAAAGCTAAAAATATTTGTCCTTTAATCTAAATGGACAAAAATAAATGTGTATATACTTTTTTAAAAGGAAGAAAAGAAAAAAAGAGCAAATGAATGCACAAAAAAGGAAGAAAGTCATATAAATGTACTTTTGAAAAATTTGCCTATGAGGTCAAGAAGTATAATACTTAATACAATCTACATAAAATTTCAATGTTTAATTCTCTGGTTTTAAAAACTATTCAAAAAGCATTCACAGTGTGCACTATAAATGGTGCCCAGACAGTTGATGAGAATAATGGGATAGGACACTGGGCCACCTGGTCTCTCCTGACCAGATTCAGC